AAAGGCTTTGGGGAACTTGGACGTGGGAAGCTATCAAAAGCTTTTCCATTTAGTTCCCCTGTGTTTCTTTTTAACTCTTCCTGCTTATTAAAACACAGAAGTTGTCCATAAAGCGAAGATTAAACAGAATGCCTCAACCATGAGGAAGCAGGAATCTGAGACCTCTCAGGAGTTAGGAGCCGTCTGCCAATGTTCCTCCGTAGCTGTGTAATTCCGGTGCATTTTGTTTATTTTGTTGGTCACGTTACCACAATATTATACATGCAAATTGCACCCAGGGTACAGCGTGCTTCTGAGATTTTGCACAAACAAAATAAAAACATTTCTCCCTCTCCGCCTGCGTTCCTCCCCTGTGTTACTCGAGAAGAGATGGGATTTAGGTTCCTACCTCAGAACTGATTGACAGGAACAGTAACAAAACCCTGATCAGTTCACTTGTAAAAAATCTGAAGGACTGTGAATTGCAGTGTTGAGGATATGAGGGCTCTGTGACTCCCGTTATGCGTGCTCAGCAGTTCCTTCTTCCTTGCCATACAACGTGGTTTTCTCTTGTTCAGCACAATTCTTAGAGCTTAAAAAGAAAATAAATACTGTCATCACTGAGCACCTTCTGCTGTGGCCAAGCTGCAAGGTTTAATCTTTGAGGAAGAGCTCATTAGTAGGGAAGTTAGCACAGAAACAGCACCTGAAGTCTGTTGTTTTTTTTTCCTAAGGCTGTGGATCTGTTGTGGGCTCAGCCACCTGCTCTGAGCCTGGCCAGGGTTGCTGCACCAGGGATGCAGATCTCTGACACAGTTACAAGCGTATTGCTCCAGCCAGAAGTGTAATGCTTGATTTTTCACAAGGGAAGGACAGGTGAAGGCAAGAGAAAAGTGGTGTCCCGGTGAAGGAGGAGCCTGGCTGCTGACAGATGTGGAACTGGGAACAGCACCAGCACAGGGATGCATGAGGTGGTCTCATGCGGTGCCTGCATTTGGCTGCTCATATCGTCCAGTGCTGGTGAATGTTCAAATCAGCTTAATTTTTAACTCCAGTGCTCCTAGTTAAAACAATTATTTTCTGAATGGCAGAGACCAAAATCTGGGAAAATGAAAGCATGATTTAATTCTAATTCTGGCAATTGGAAAAATGACTTGAGGTTAAAATGTCCTTTCCTAAAAAGGTTGGGTGATATTAGTTTTCACTTTACTCTGACTTCTTCTCCAGACCTTTTATTTATATGCAGGGTTACAAGCTCTTGTCACTTCTTCCTGCACCTGTGCTGCTGTGGTGACATTACATTTTTTGCACACCTGAGCAGCATTACTGAGATCAGCTGAGCATACACTCGCTCAGCTCTAAGCATGGGGCTGGGCTGCATCTGCAGCTCCTGCCAAGCATCTGGCTCTTCCCAGAAACTGTCCTGATGGTTTGATTTCAACTTTTATCTTTAGTTTCTAGGATACTGCAGGTATTTACTACTTTGAGTAAACTCCCCAGAATTAAGTTAAGCAGGCCAGCTTCAGGGAGTAAATTTTTGTAAGTATTATAGAACCATGGAACCATTTAAGTTGGAAGGGACCTTTAAATGCCACCCAGTCCCATTTCCCTGCAGCAAACAGGGTCACCTACAGCTCCATCAAGTGCTCAGAGCCCCTCCAGCCTGGCCTTGAGTGTCTCCAGGGGTGGAACACCACCAGTTCTCTGGGCAACCTGTGTCAGTGCCTCACCATCCTTACCATAAAAGACTTTATCCTAATATGCAGCCTAAATCTCCCCTTTATCTATTTAGCCCCTTGTGCATAAAGGGTTGCATTTGTAGGAGATATCTTCCCTTATTGGAATTTAGAACTGTGTTCCTGAGCATCTACAAAGGAATGGAGCATCTGCCTGGGCCTGCATGAGATAAGTGAGATTGATTCCAATTGCTTTGCCACTGTTTAGTCTGCCATTTAATCTGCCTTCATGGATCCAAGTTTAAATTGATTCACGTGTTCTCATTTCCTGTCTTGAACTTGTTGTGCAATAGCCTTTTTTTCTTTTTCTTTCTTTCTTTCTTTTTTTTTTTTAGAGACATTTTCTCAGTTTCACTCTAGAACTGGTGAGTGAAGCAGTCACCCTGCCAAACGAGTTGGTGGATGCCTTGAAGTCTGCCAGGTCCCACAGACTGTCAGGGTACGATCAGCCCTTGCCACGTACAGTTTCTAGGTCACGGTGGATATTTACAGGTTGACGGAGAAAGATCAGCCTTCACCAACTGTAAACAAGGCAGGACTGGTATAGTGAATTTCTTGTTTTAGTCCAAAGACCTGTTTTGGAACAAAAAATATGCTTATAGATATTGTTCCATTCATTGCCTTTAGTAAACTTTCCCAGATCATCGGTATCACCATGTGCTGTGTGTTTTATTTAGTCCCAGGGTTCAGTTTGTAAATACTCCAAAAGAAAGTGATGAAAAAATGTCTGAGGCTTAGAGGTCTTTCCATGGTTTTGGTCAGTTTGGTGTCGTCATCATCTAAACATAGGCACGCTGGACTGGAAGCGATCTCTTGGGTCACAGCTCCTTGTTTTCGTCTTTCCCAAGCACTGTCGTACTGCCCGTTTTGTAAGTGCCTTCAGCTCTGTCTCAGCAGCGCTTGTTTTCTGTCCTCATTTGGGAAACTGTTCCCAAATGTTGCAATTCTGAGTCGCCCTTCAGACTCCCGAGCTTCTTTAAATTTCCCTTCCTATTCCTGCTGTGTCCAGAGGGGACGGGCAGTCTGGGCATTTTGCTTGGACGGAGAGCTATGCTCCAGGGGCTGAGCCTAAAGGAGAGAACAAAATGGGACTCCGCAGGTTGGACAAAAAATGTTGCTAGCGTTTCCCAGAGGTATGTTATTCCTTCTTAAATATCTCTTTTAGAAACAAACTGCACAGGGATTAGGTCAGAAATCATGTGCTGGATTTAAATAATAAATAGTGCTTCCTGGCACCGACATCTATAGAACACAGTCATCTTCATTTTACAAAGTATGAGACTCTTTATACTGAATAACATTTTGCATTGCCTCTGCTAAATCAGAGCTGTGGAGATGTTAAGGCAAACAAACACTGATTCAAGCTGTGGATTTGGGTAATGTGCTCCACCTACTCGAAGGCAAGAGTGCATTTTTGCATCGCAAGAGTGAATTTGAGTGATTTACGATCCTGTCTTTTATTTCCAAAAGGCTTTTCTTTACTAGTTTACAGGGTGGTGTTTTTGCTTTTCCCCCATAATTTTGTCTTGTTTAGGTAATCCATAAATCTATCAGCAAAGATAGTCATCGCTAACCTCTGTGGCCCCTCAGTGACAAGCCCCATTGTCAAAGGCAGGCGATGTGCCAGGAAACTGTGACTCCCAGAGAGAGTGTACAAGGTTAGGGGCAAAGCATGCTATTGCCAGAGAAACTATTCCGAGTGGATTTGTGTGGAACAACAACGATATCCAGTGACTAGTTAAATTAGCCACAGATGTGTTTTCTATAGCACTGTCCAAGAAGATACAGAGTACTTTAAGGCTCGGTTGAGGCATAATGATCTTCTGAAGTCAAATCAGATCCAAGCAAAACTGCATCTGTACTAGGAAAGCTTTTAAGGGCTTGTGTAACATGATTCAGGCGAGTAGATGAATCAGACTGCTGCGCGCTGAACAGGGAGCACATCAGTGAGAGATGAGGTAAGGCGACTTGCATAGAAGTGTGACAGTTAGGTGTTAGTTTGCGGTGAAATCACCAGCTTTGGGGGTCGGCACGGCAGTGAGTGGCACTGAGTGCCTCCTGCCTGCTGCCGGGCTCTCAGTGAGCTTTCCAGAATATCTGAGCACTTGGCTTTGCACTTTCTGTCTCCATTGCTCGGGTCCCTCCATGCCACTCCTCCTCCTGCCGAGTTTGGTTTTTAATTACTCTGCTGAGGGCGTTAGAGATGTTAAATATTTGGAAATTTTTCATGTACTGAAAGCGAAGTACAGGTGGAGGACTCGTGGCTGTTCTCATACAGACCTTTCCCTCAACTCGAGCAGAATGAGGGATTTCTGTCTGAGCTCGATGCTGAGGAGCTCAGCTTCCATCCCGCACTGAACTCCTGCCTGTGCCGCTCAGACTCATCCGCAGCGTTCCGATAACAGGCGGTGGGGAGAAGCCCTGCTGAATTTCAGATCTGCTGTGTGCTGTAAAGTTGTGGGGAAACATGAGCAGCTTAGTTACTGCAGTAGTTGGAGCAGGAAGCAAGAGAAGCTTTTGTTGCATTCCCTGACCTATTTCTTTACTGTGGTATTTACTAGAATTTAAATTGAATATAGTGTATTAAAATGCTGTGATCAAAAAGAGCCTGGAAGTATGCAGCTTAGCGGCTCATTGCAATAAGCATTAGCAGAAAAAATGGAATTAAAAGCTAGTAGTTTTTTATGGAGGAGCGACAGATTTTATGACAGATAAAAATAACATTTTTCACAATAGAAATAATACGGGTGAAAATTTCTTTCTCTGTTTTTCAGAGATCTGTTAAATGTTTATTAATCGTATTGATGTAAATGTGGTAATGAGTATTTGCTTTGAGTTTCCAGATAGAATTCCAAAAAGAGTTTGAATGCTGTGAGTTTATTCACGAAAATGTTGTTTTCTTTTCCTTCCCTTCTTACCCCTTCGTAATTTTTGATTTTAATCAAGCAAACTGTATTGCTTGCAATCTTCTGTTTCCACTTAACTCTGAATTCTGCTTCAGGAGCTTCTGCACTTCTATTCTTAGGAATTTTTGCAGGTCACATGCAAAACCATGTGTGTGTGCATGCATGCGTGTATGTCTCTAGACAGCATACCAATAATTAGAATAACCCTGCAAAGTCATGGCTTTGCTTCAGGAGAACTCATGGCCAAAAATGAATCTTGCCTCTGTTTTCAGGTATATTCTGGTTTTGACCTGTGACACCAGGCAGAATATATGTGTTCTAAAATATGGTTATGTTGAAAATACTCAAAGCAATGGCTTTGTTTTTTCTCTTTTTACAGGGTCTTTGTAAACAGAAGTTTAGCTATGGAAAAGATCAAGTGCTTTGGCTTTGATATGGATTATACGCTTGCTGGTGAGTGTCTTCTTGCTCTTTGTCACTGACTTAGTTTGTTGAGAGAAGACCAGTATTTGATTGGGCTATTCCAATTAGCAGGTGTTTCCTGTGTTAGCAAATATGTAATTCACTGTTCGTTCCACTTTCATTTCAGGTGTTTCTTTTTAATTTGTTATCTGGAAGTTGTATTTGGTCATGAGCCACATAGCTTTAGTACAATTTAAAGGAAATTGAAACTTGAAAAGTATAATTATTTGTTTATATTCCACTGTAGTTTGATATTATCCCTGATGAAAGCTTAGTTTTGAATAACAGTGTGATTTTATTATCCTTAGTGCATATGATGGGCTACACCTTTAGTCAGCAGATGCTCTTGCATCTTGGGAGGGTCAGTTTGGAATAAGTTTTCCTTTTTCCTACTCTTCTCTTGGCCACATCAGCGATGCATTTGTGAGAAGCAGCAAGGCAGGGGAGCACTGTGTGTTGGCTGATCAAGCTAATTTAGAAAGCACTGCCCATTCTTTGTGGCAGATAGTCTTTGGGAGGTTGCATAAGACTTGTAGTTTCTTAAAATTTTCTGCAGGACTTCTCCGTCTTTCAAATACTCAACAGGCAACTTCTCTGAGACTTCTGCTGGAGGGAAGGGTGAAGTTACAGTTTTCTGTGTAATCAAACTTACATGATGTTACATAGTTTAAGGAAGGAAAAGATAAACATCCCACTTCCACTTTCCTAGGCTGTAGTGTCAGGTAGGCTAGGTTGTAACTAAGGCTGTCACATAGAATTCGACCTTCTTTCTCACTACCGCTTCCAAGGTTGTGGATAGGAAGTTTCTATCGCTCTTGATATTTCAACTTAAAATACCGAGGATACACTGAGATACATTAAGCAGAATAAGAGGGTCACCTAATAATAGGTTAAGGTAGTGGGTCAAGGATGGTCACCTAGTTACTGTGTCTACTGAGTATAAATGAGAGATGCTATGGGCAGTGTGAGGGGTCAGTGGGTAAGCAAAAGTTAGGAAAAGCTCCATGTGCTCACATGTTTGGACACAGTGCTCAAAAAGCAGTTTTGGAGGCTATGGCAAGTAATTGAGGTTCAGATTTCAGTCGCTTGCTTTGGTGCAATTTATTTTCAAGCAGTTGTCAATGAGGCGCTAGTTATATGTAAAAGGTTTGGTTATTCAACACCTTATTTATAAATCTGCTTAAAGTTCCTGCCACTTTTTAAGTCATAAAGTGTATCACAGTTAATCGGCGCTGGATTTTCCAGATACAGTTCCAAAGAGGGCTCAGATACGAATGCAGGCGCGCGCTTTCCGTGTTTGCATTTCCCAGCTGTGACAGCTTTATGGCCAGGCTTTTAGGGAGTGCAAAACAGTTCAAGAACAAATGCTTTAAAAACAACAACAAAAAAAAAGCTGTGGGTTTCACTTCCGTACTGAAAGAACAACTTACTTTGACAAACTGGCAGCATTTCCAGGGACGCGGGTGATCCCAGTGGAACAAGAAGTGTGTTGCTAACTGACAGAAGGAGAGTTTCAGCGCTGTCCTCACTCCTCCGACTGTTCATTTTACTCAAGTGTTGCATGTTCCTGTAAACACAGAGCAAATGTGTTGCTATCCACAAAATGATGCTCAGTTTGATGAGAGGAAAGATGCGAACGTTTCACGCATCCTTAATCGCCTTGGGATGTGGAAATATGAGGCTTCCAAGGCTGGAAGGTCACAACCATACAATTCAGCAGGCAGTCAGTGCATTTGGGGGAGCTGAGTGGCAGGATATGGTGCAAAAAAAGAAAAGAGGTGGGATCTGAGCAGAAAACAGGAAATCTGGATCACTCTTGGGTAAGCTGCTGGGCTGTGCCTTCTCCTGTGGTAAAACAAAGATAAGAGCTGTAGGTCGTTTTACAGAGAGTTCTAAGAATATAGTTAGGCTGGAAAGTTTTTTTCAGGTGAAAAGCCTTGTGCCTGCTATAGTTCCCCTTTCTGTTTTAATCAACTGTGAAACTATCAACTACGTGTTCATCTTGTTACTGTCTCACCATCATCCTTTCTTCTCTGTAAGGGCTTTTGTTATTTGACCATTATTTGCTGTGTGTAACTGTGGCACACAAGAAAAGTCATTTATTAATTGCAGGGGCTTTAAAGAACACAGTGTTAAAATATTATTGCAATTAATTAATTGGAATTATAATGAAGAGGTGGTCAAGTATTACATTAATATGTTATAGTGCATTCATAAGACACCATCATGTTTTCTGTCTGGGCAAATTATCCCCCACAGACTCTTTCACATGGGTATGTTTACTGTCTTGATTTGTATATGTATATTTATTTGTACGCACATGTATATAAAGCTAGCTTATCCACAGTTTAACACTTAGAAATAGTGTCTGCATACCAGATGATGTATGGTAAGCAGATGCATTTTGGAGGCCCATTCATGACTTGTGTGAATAGACAAAGGAAGAAGAATGGAAGCTCCCCCAGTATCCTCATCTGATTTTCTACATTAGGACTTCCAGATGTTGCAAACTCACTTTTGTAAAGTTGTTTAGAAGTATTCCAAGCATAATCTTCTTATCCACTGATAGACAGCAGTCAGAGCCATTAGACCTGCCTAAAACTCTGTGCGATGTTTTTGCTCTTCTCTCTTTCATGAGCTTTCACATCATCTAAAACCTGATGGCATTCATGCTGTAGCTGCCAGTCATAGATTTTGACAGCTCAGGAGCAGATTGGTTATTTTTGAACACCCTGAATTGCCTGTCTTGCGAAGAGGACGTGTCAATGAAAGAGAACACAGTAACTCTCTTTCCTCCCAAATCAGTGGCCACAAAAGCCTCCTTAGGAGGTGGTTCAGTACTAGAGAAGTCAGGATTGTTCTGGACTTTAGAAGCTTGAGATGGTTTTGTACTTGTGTGAGTTTAAGCAGACAAACCTACTCGTAATAGCACTGATTTCTGTCTGAAATGAGCTGATTTTGGTAGGAATGTGGTAATTCCATTTGCAAGTGTGTATGGATGTAGTAACACCTACTACACACATGCTGCAGCAATCATGCATTTTGCTACTGACTGAGAGCGTCAGCTTACCAACTGACAACAGTGTTAGTATCATCATGTTACACTGCAAATAAAATATGATTCCAGACATTGGTTTTATAGGGTAGTATTTCTTAACCTTATTAAATTAAAGGACCATTTGACTTGAAAACAAAAAAGATTCAAGGCTGCCTTGATACAGCACTGCCACAATGATTCTGTTTGCTAGTCAAAATTAGGTTAAACTTTAAATTTTTGTTAATAACTTTTATGTTTTCTCATGTTTGTCTCTTTCCCTGCATAGGTTTGAGAAGTACTGTTAATGGAGGTGGGTTAGGCAAGTAAAGTCTTCTTGAAAAAAAGAGCCTGAAGGTTTTTGCTTCTTCTTCTGAGAAATTATGAACATTAAATTGCTGGATTTAACTGTGGTTACAGCTGGAAATAATTTGGCCGCTAGGAGCTCAAAATAAAATGGAAGCAAATTGAAGTGACTCTTGCAGGTTTTAGATTCTGCCTTTCCCCCCAAGGATTAATCCTCATGGGGTGAATGAGGTCTCCTATGCATATGGAAGCTCGCAATGCTTCCTGGGTTGTTGTGCAAGGTACGCTAATACCAGAGGCTCCAAAATCTTTGTTGGACATCAGTCTACCTTTCTCCCTGCCTCTTGTGGCCCTTTAGAAATGCAGCTGAGAGAAATGGTTTTTAGGGGAAATTTTGTTTGGCTGCTTCTTTCTCAGGGTGAGCTACGCTTTTAATTATTAGGACTGGATCTGAGTAATGCAGGAGGCCTTGGCATTCCTGAGTACTACATGGGATGGGTTGCACAATGAGGATAGATGTCCCTTGACAGGCACAGGGTTACAGCAGCAAGGTTTTCGGACTGGCTGTAATTTCACACCGGACCATGGGCAGATGGAGAGGGAGTTAGTAAGTATGAGAGACTGGGTTGTGCTTGGAAAGATTCCTGTGTGACCACCGCCCTTGTCCAGACGTTAGAGCCATGCTGAAAATTTTATCTTCCATCTCCAAAGTGGATAAGACATAAGATCAGCAAGCAAGATGCTTTCATTTGGGAGGCCTTCCCTGTACTTAAATCACTGCTGCTTCCATGTTCTCCATAAACCTATAATAAAATCATCACTAGCGACTGCAAACTGTTTCAATTAAAAAGAAGGGGAAATGAAGCTTGAAGAATACTGTTTTTATTGTGTGCAAATATGATTAATTCAACATAATCTGGAATGTAGCTCATGTCCTGGAAACATTGCCAGTGTAATGCCAAGGTTTGGTGCACTGCAAATGTTTTATTGCAAAATTGCTTATGCTTTCAGCTGCAGCATTTCCCTTCTGATCACATGGGAAAGACATGGGAAAGGCAGCTTTAGTCATTGTTTGTGGCTGCCTTTCCCAACTCGCTCCAAAATGCAACATGCATAAACAGGTTTGGCCCCTTCCTCACGTTCATGCCTAAACCAACCACGCAGTCTGAGGGTGAGGGAAGTTTTACACACCTACCTATTTGGAAACATTTGACTTTACATAATAGCTCTGGAAAAGATCCACCTGAACAGTCAGTAGGATTGGCTGCAGATCTGAGAGAAAAGGTGGCAGCTGAGAACTGGTTCTTGAGTCCATCCAGTGTTTGTACCTCTGTCAAGTTGTATCACTTTGTATGTTTCGGTTTCCATAACTGAGAAATGGGACTGACGAATTTGTTCCTTGTGTACGACTTTCTGGATTACGCTGATGAAAAGCAAAGTATAAACGTGGGAGTTTTACACATGAAAGGTTGAGCTGAACACTTAACAAAGCTTGTAATGTAAGCAGCTACAAAGAAATATTTGTTCTTCTGCTCAGATGCCACTGCTGCATGTTTACTGTTAACTCAAATACGAATGTTCTAACAGAGCTCTCCTGGTTAGGTTAAAGGTTTGTCATCAGTTCCATCATAGTGTAAGGACTCTGGGCTTG